GCAGCAACAGCTGCAGCAGCAGCAGCAGCAGCAGCAGACAGGCAGTATCTGTAGTTGACTTTGTTCTCACAATAGACGATGGCAGCTGTACTCTATTATTTTACATCTTATTTCCAGTAATACTGGGACTGGGACAAATGGCGATATAAGAATAAATGTCGGCTATGGTGAGTGCAAGAAAAAAGGATCGACGCCATGCATACTGTCGTGCTTATATTATTTCATTTTACATTGCAAAGCTATTATACTTTCTCTCTTTAATAAGAGCTTTAATTCATTTCTATCAGTAACGAGGTTGTATCCGTTAGGGACCGACAGAGAAGATCAATGGACTGGAGGCACTGATGTAAACTGCAGAGCATCTATAGAGCGGGAAAGATGACGTTAAATCTCACACAACAGTTCGCCGTTCTTGCCAAGTCAACACTTCCTCCTTTACCAATCCACCTCCCCCCTTATCCACAAGCATCCACGTTTCTGTAGCCAGCCCAACACGGCTGGGGGATCAACAGACACTGAGTGACCACTTCCTCCCCTCTTCCGTAAGAAATTTGGCGTTTGGAGAGTGCAGATAACCCGCTTTGGCACAAACCTCTGTCTTAGGATCAGACCCCGGATGAGCCCACACAAGAAGGGTTTACAGCTATCGATTGGAGCAGGGACAATAAGAGGCTTCCACACCCGGGACGCTATCCACAGTTGATGAGCTCATAACGAAACGATTGTCATCCCAGGCTCCTCTTAAAGTACACGGCTCGGCCCCGAAGTGTTTCCAGCCGTTATGTCATTGAGTAAACCTTTGCTTTAGCTGTATATCTAGTTGCAGTGTATAACAACATAGATTGTAAAATACAAAGAGCTTGCTGTTGAAAGGAAATAATTTGCTCTGTACTATTGTTATTTGCTATTAACTTATATCTACAACAACGTGTCTTTGTTGCAATAGCTATTTTCTCAATCCTAAAATCACGTGACATGAGCAAGATTCCCAATCGAGGAACATCATTCTTTCACGATCATCTAATTTCTCTGTTTAGTATGCCATCCTCACAGCACGCGTTGGCACCAACAAGCAGGACTGAAGCAGCAAGTCCTGTTAAAAAACCTAAATAATGTCAACGGAGGCGCAAAACACTTATTTTAAATAAACATTCAACAAGTCTGTTTATGGTATCTTCTTCATTCAAAACGTGTTAATACACCTTGTTCGTTTCTTTTGTCTAACATTATTAAGCCACCCAGACCCCCAGCAGAGAAAGGTTTGGATGTCCGACAAGACACACGGCCAGATATGTCGAAATGGATCGGGAATGAGTGGCCTACTGGCTCGATGACTAAGGATCGTTCAGACCAATCTGTCTAAGCGTTCGCGCTTCTCTATTTCTCCAAAGACAAATAGTCACAGCATTGAAGGAGAAAGAAAAAAAGCGATGGGTTTTAGCCACAACTACGGTTGTATCAGCTTTTGTATAAGAAAAACTGAACCCGCTCGTGCCAAAGTGGGAAATCCGGAATCTCATTACCTCTGACCGATTGCCATCGTTTGAAAAAAACATTGCTATCTCCACATTTGAGTATTAGAGTCATATCTATTGCACAGAATTCACCAAAAAGGACAACAAAGCTAATGCAAACGTACAATTTTTCTCTTTCACTATGCAGCCC